GTTCGGATCCCACATGAGGGCCCGTGATGCTGCGCCCTCTACAGCTAATAAGATAGTGAACAACAGCTCAACCTGGAGCTGGGCTGCCGTGAGTCGCTGGCGAGGGCATAGGCTGCAGTGGGGCTGCAGTGGGGCTAACCGGCAGCTGGCGTGCTTTCATGAGCTGCTGTGAGCTGCCTGAGCGGCCATCTACGGCCATCCGATGGCTGGCAAGTGACTGCTCACCTGAGAAGAGCACAATAATCAGAATACCAACATGGGCCAGTGAAGCAACATCCTCCACGACTAGACTGAAGAACAAAAAAAGGACAGCAACTTGTCTGTTCCCCTTCCCCTGATTCCCCAACGCTGTTCCATCCCCCAATTCCCCAATAAAATCTTTTTTAAAAATAAATTAAAAATTAAAATTAAAAAAAAAGAATCAAAGTGTAGAATATTATGTAGAGTATAATAAGCACATTTGTGTGAGGGGGAAAGAATATACCTATATATAGATTTATGTTAATTGGAATAATAGACAAGAAACTATTAGCAGCGGTTACCTCTTGAGAATGGGACTGGATATGGGGGAAGAATTACTTTTCATTTTATACCTTTCTGCATAGTTTGAAATTCTTAATACCTATATGTAATTTTCACATATTACCTTTATTATTTTTTTTAAAGAAAACTAGTTTAAAATAGTTTTGTTCTAAATATAGTTAAACACAAATAAAGTATGGGTAATGGGTATCTTAACATTTGAATTTACTATTCAAGGAGAAAAGGATGTTCTGTAAATCCCCAGTTTTATTTTCTAATAGAGGAAGTTCCTCAGGAACAAAAGGACTTGGAGTTAAGGGTTTTAGAGGCAATGATATAATTTTGTCTTTGGCTCAAGCATAGGTCAACATCAAAGTAATAAATGAAAAAGGCCAGATTCTTATATCCAAATGCTGGCTTCTTGTGTCCTAAGCCTGAGCACTAACTAGGCATGGTTAGTACATGTTTTTGCTTACAGTGTTACTAATCTCTTGTTACACTGTTCTGTATTTTCTAAATATTCTAAAATAAACATATCAGTAAAGCAGTATCGCCAGCCTCTGGAGCATAACCACTGAGGTTCAAGACCTGATTCTGACATTTACAAGCTGTGTAACCTTAGGCAAGTCGCTTACTTTATGTGCTTATTTTCTCAGTTCCCTCATCCGTAAAAATAGGAATGATAATAATACCAAATAAGTGCATTGTGAGGATTAAGTGAGTTAACATGTGATAGGTATTAAGGATATAGCAGGCAGCATGCAGTAACTGCTTTAAGTTTTAGCTATTATTATGTATTACTTTTATGATCAGAAAATAAAAGTGTTCATGATTGCTTTAGATTGGCACCTCTGAATAAAAATTTGACAGAAGATGAAACTATTGACCAAAACAATGTCTTAGTTAAGTTTTAACTTATCCATGTCTTCTCATGAATTTGGCCTCTGGAGCCACTGAACTCTGAAGCTTCAATCACCTTATAAATACGTTTTCCAAAAACTGAAATCCTTGAAATGTGGGTTTTGTTGTTTCTTTTTTCTCTTTCTCAGGGAGGGGCTTTTTATTTCATGGAGCATGTTGCAGCTGAGCATTCAACCTGGAATCACTTCTGGCAGCAGGTCCTGGATCCTGTTTGGTACCTTCTGTTTGATGGGTGCACCCTGACCAGAGAGAGCTGGAAGGCGCTAGAGCGGGCTGGCTTCTCTCAGCTGAAGCTGCAGCACTTAACGGCTCCGCTATCCTGGCCGCTGGTGCGGCCTCACATCCTCGGATATGCTGTGAAATAGCTCGCGTGGGAGTAGAACCGAATGAATGGCTCAGATAATTCAAGGCTTCAGCTTACACTTAAAATACTAATTGGGAGAAGAGAAACCCTTTTTTAGGTAAAGTGGAATTTTACCCCTAAAAATGTCCATTATACCCTATTGAACCATTTTCTATTGTCTCCCAGAGAATAAAAAACAAAACAGCTTTGAACTCTCCTTTAAAAGGAAATGGTGAGCTTTCATAATTGAAGTCTACTATTATTCCCAAACCTTGGTTTATTCAGTAGCTTCAGAATGTTTCTGTCTTACTTAAATTGTTACCTAACAGATTTGAACTTCACCCCCTCTTTGAGAGCTTGGTGAAATAAACAGTTAAATCACTCAAAAGACTTGGAAAAAGGAGAAGTGAAAAGATCTTAGTAATTCACAGACTGAATAAAGAAATACAACTAACTAGCTGAAAATCCAAATCACACAGATTTTTTTTTTTTTAATCTGAATCTATGTGTTGTTCTTAGTGTCACTGGGCTGGCATTCAAAATTAATGTACCAGGATGCCACAGCTGGCTCTGTCACCTCTCCTGTTTTTCATTCCAGTGTTCCACCTAAGTTTTTTTTTTCTGGGTGGGTCCAAAAGCAGGCCCAATATTTTATTTTATTTTTTTATTTACATGTATTTTTTTCCCCTTTCAAAGCTTGTTTCCCTGCATTCCAGAATTCAATTGGTAAGATGAAGATAGTACTTGACACTTAGTATATCCATGAAACTATCTGAGGCAGTTAAGTTTCTTGGATTCATTTTCCCTATTATCAGCATATACTTTGCTAAATGCAGCAAGTTGCAGGCAAGGAGAAGGCCCACTGTGATTAGGAAAACCTTATATAATTCGGTACACTTTGTACAATCCTTTAAAAACAAGGCAACCTGTGAGTCTATAAAGAAGGGGACAGGTATTTTTTTGGATAATTCTGATCAAATTTACATTACACTCCTGTTCCAAGATGATTTCTTTTTTCCTTGCAACCATGGAAACGTCTATAAATCATCACAAGTGCTTTGAAAACAAGTGTTGGGTTGATCAGTGAGAGGGCTTAAAAATAGGATTTTCAGTAATAGTTTGCATGTATTTTAATAAATGTAGTATATTTTCTGAGATGATTTTGTAAAGGGACTATTTTAAGTAGTAAGTCAATAAATTCACACACATTTTAGAAACAAATAAGATAAATGGTTTATATATTTGCTGGCTTGGTTTCATTTTTCTTAATGTGTCTGGGAGGGGCTATCCTTCACTGTGGAAAGTTAAGCTATTTGAACACACAGATTGTTCTTTCTATAGCCAGGTAACTATAAACACAACTAGCAGACTTGAAAAAAAAGCAATTTTGGAAGCATCAGAATGGGTTTTGAAAACTTCAAGTCCAAAGACTCTACTTGTGAAACCACAGAAGGAAAGAGAGCTATTCTAACTCTCCTGAACATGAAAAGAGTTATAGTTCCCGAGGTTAGGACACTCACCTAAGGCCTACTGAGCTATGGCACATGAACTGCCTCCCTCTACAGTCTCCCCATTGGCACATTCATAGCAGTTCCCTCTTATCTAAGTGGTGTGGCAAATATTATCCTCACTTTCTATGGACGACACTGAGGTGTAGAGAAATAAATAAATGAAGTTTCTTACGTTTCTCAAGTTACGGAGTAAGTTTTACAAGCCCTAATTCCCCAAACCACAAAAACTGGTTTGACCATAATTATCAAATTACCTCTCATCACTTTCCTTCTCAGGCCCAGAAAACACATACTGTATTTATGATCACTCCAGATATGATCACTGAAGAACCAGAGAAAGTGACTCATGCCCCAGCAAAATAGAGAACTAATAGGCAAAATGTCCAATGTCTTTTAGGTCCTGTGTTGGTTAAGATTCCGTTGACTGCAAGTGACAGAACTCCAAAACTCCAAGTCCAAAACAGGCTTAAGCAGGAAACTGGACTTGACTGACTCAAATTAGTGAAAAGCATAGGGACAGAATGCCTCAGGCAGAGCTTGAGCAGGGTTGAGATAACGTTATCAGGAGCCAGACAGTGCCTAGGCCCACTTCCGCCTTCCTCTCTGTTTGCCTTGTCAGGTGGTGAGTCTGCAGAAGTAGTGCCAATCTTCATGCTTCCAATACAAGTTGGAAAGACCAAGTTCACTTTTGCAAAAACTCCAACCACAGTTCTGTATTGCTTCTCAATTGGCTTTTATTGACATTACTGGGTCACAAGCTCATCCCTGAAGCAATCATGTTTAGAAGGGATGGATTATGCTGATTGGCTCATAGGTCACTGTCCCATCCCTGGGGCTGAGCACACACAGATCATGTGCACTGATACAGACAGCTGTAGATCATCCAGATGAAAACAGGTAATGTGATAGGAATGTGGGAATGATGCCAGGAAGGCACACCACAAATGCCCAGTGTAAGTTCATCCCTGCTTTTTGATCAGATCCTCGGTCAGCTTTGCTGTGATAGATTACACGTTACCTTGCTTAGAACACGGGCTTTTCAGTAGGATAACTGCATGCGATGAGGAAAATAAAAAAACATAAGGACATTGGCTTTGGCATCAACGTGACCAAGGTCCAAGTTCTGTCATTCATTGACTGTGTGACCTTAGGCAAGTTACTTCTCTAGTCTCGCTCATCTGTTAACAGGGATAATATGTACCTGAAGGGTTATTGTGAGGAGTTAATGAAGTGAAGCACTTGCTGCTTAATGTTGAACTTCATTCAACAAATACTGAGTGCCTACTGTGTACTCTGCTCTTGGTGCTTGGCTTAGAGCCCTGAATAAGCCAGATAGAGCTGGTCCCTGATCTCACAGAGCACGCCATCATGATAAATGCTATCTATGAGGGAGAAGCGGCCGAGGAGAATGGAATCTGACCTATCCAGGAGGAGGAGGATCAGGGACTTCCTTGAGGAAATCACATCTTGTGGCAATGGGCCCTAGACAAAGGCCTTCCCAGAACATGTGGTCACCAAGGATTTTGTGCGGGCTTCGGACAAAGACATTCCTGGACTGTATGGTCATCAAGACTTCCCCGTGTAATATTTCCAAATTCCTACCTCACCCGTGGACCAGTCAGGAACTGGCACAATGGCCACATGT